AATTGCCCGCAAGTGACATACAATCAATGAGCACACGCCGCAAACTGGGGCACACACGAACATTTGACCCAAGGCGCCCGCAACATTGCCAATCAACGACGCCACAAGCACCCGCGTGCACAAGCCGATACAACCATACCTACATTACCCGTCATTACTTTGCCCAAATGAACATGACTACGACAAAAATGACAAAGCAGTTTACAACTAAATCATCGTTAACTTAGTTATTAGCTCAGAGAACATTACCATTTAGTAGGAGAGGCAATAGAAAGCAGGGCTGAGCAGAAATGTCTTTGGTTTTTGCAGAAACAGTTCGCAGATAGTCACAGGAACGTGACGTAAACACTGCAGAAGAAATTTCCAATTGGATGAACAGATCTGCCGACTTGCCCAAACCCTTTTCAGAAACCAGGCCAAAAGATCCATCAGAGGCCGAGCCGGGGACTCCGGCAAAGCTACGTGCCGTCCTATCACTTACCCAAGCTCACTTTTTGGAGGCATTTGCGCCAAATATCCACGCACTGGCATAAAGGGGCGTACCGCCAGATCTCTGTACGGAGCACACTTTTTCGATGCACTTCCACAAAAATATGACGGACTCGCAGGGACATTATGTTTGTTCATTTGGGCAATATGAGCTGTGAACGAGTACATGATTTGGCTTATGTGGGTAAAATAATGCCCTTCGACATGATAAGGGACCTACATAAATGAGTCGCTAAAATTTGATCCAGCGTTTTGTGCACCTTCCCCATAATATCCACTTTGCCCAAAATGCGCTTCTTAGATGGAAACATTGCAATTGGTGATTTCTGAGACAGCCTTGCACGCAGCTTCAAGAGTCTTTTTGACCTTGACATGTTCAACTTTCATCCTTGTGCCAATGGAATCATCTGCTCCAATTTTCTTGCCATCAAAGAATGCTCTGGCAAATGTCATGGGATTGCATTCTACTGCAAAGTCAACTCCGTGTCCACGTGGGTAGGGAAGAGTGAAACTAGCATAGTCGATCGTGCCAGCTATGGAAGGTGGATTCTGCTTTGTTGGAAGCTTGTCAAAAGAAAACTCTAGAGGGGACGGTAGTGATTTGTCTGACTTGTAGAGGGGTTCCATTGTCGGAGAATCATCATCACTTCCTTCTTGACTGATGTTGGTGTCATTGACCTCCATTGTTCTTGACAGCTATAACAGCCAGTAGGAACACAGAGAACACAGTAGTCAGAATGAACAGGGAAGCTGCCTGATGAGTACTTGTAAGAGAGAACCAATGTGACTGCCAGCTTCCTGTTCCTTGGTTATTGATTGTTGTTTGCTACTGTTGTGGCTAAAGCTTGTTGATTGCTGCTGCTGCTGTTGTTGTTGTTGCTGTTGTTATTGTTGTTGTTCTGGAATTGAGAAAAAATGAATGGCTTGGGATTAGGTTATGTTGCCAAATGTTTGGCAACATGAAATTTTGTTCCCGTGGGATTGGCAACATGAAAAAGAAGATAATGGTACCAAGTTCCAACTAGGTGCCAAGATGAAACCAAGTTTACTTAAGAATGTCCCAAGACGCTGGTGGGAATCAAGTAATTTAAAACTCTTGGGAGTACAGTGGGTACATAACTCTGGAATTAGAGAAAAGGCAAAAAGGTTTAAGAAGTTTCCACTTGGTCATTTGGTGCTCTGCTTGGTCCGGGTACCAAGACACAGATAAAACAGTTAAATTGGTGGTACCAAGGGGACCAAGGGGAGGTGCCAAGATTTTGGCAAACTTGGCCCTAGGGGAGGTACCAAGTTCAAAGGAAAAATTACATAAGGGTCCAATTACATACTTAGGGAACTCTCAGGTACCAAGAAACTGAAAACCACAATGTGAGATGCCACTATAAGTACAAGTGATGGCCCAAGAAGTATTTAGGCTATGATAGTATCTAACTAGCCAACTTGGTACAGGTTCCAAGATGGCTTGGGAATGAAAAAGTAAAACTTGGTCCATGGACCAAGAATGCTTGGTACCAATAAAATAACTATTAAAAAGAGCAAAAAAGGTACCAAGTTGGAGCTCCAATAGCTTGGTACTTCTGTGGGGAACACACTCATATGCAAACCATTTTCGGGCAATACATCCACTGAGACCCTTTGCAATGACTAAACTTGGTACCACGGTACCAAGTTTAGATGATTTACGGTTTGTCTAATTAATGTAACTGTCAAGAGTCCCAGTGAAATTACTTAGAAGAACTTAGTACCAACTTGGGGTATGGTTTACTGCTGACCCTTTCACCTGACTAGCTGGCTACGGTAACCATCGTCAGCCTTGCGGGTCTTGTTGGCACCTCGCCACAATTTGATCGTTTTTGCAAACAATCGAATCTTCTGTTTTCTTCGATATTCGAGCTTGATGGATGGGTATGATAACAGTGAGCGACGATGAAGAGGAGCTGTCGACGTTCATCGGGTTGGATCTGGCTGATCGTCTTCAGTTCAGCCATTTCTGGAGTTGACGGAGCCAATGCAAGGGGTAGCCGCCTTCAGTCTACCCACAACGATAACGATGCAGTAGAAGATGAAGATGGTTATTGGTCCTGGATGGACCTGGATGCCTTGGAAGAAGAAAAAGTAGGAAGCAGCAAAGACAGGGATTCCAACCTTCTACCAAAGAAACTCCGCAGCTCGTATCGACAAAGAGACATGCTGCAGCGACAAACCAGCATCACGGTCATTGATGAAGAAGAAGATGATGAAGCAGATACATTTGAAGCGACGGGGTTTGTTTCCGTGACAGGCTCGCCTGATATTCCACAACCTTCACAGCAGACACGTTCTCCCAAGCCAATAAGTGGAATCACTGTACGGATACCCACAGCGCTTCCGACACGGTCGCCAAAACCCACACCGGCGCCCACACCGGTGGGCCAACAACCGGTGGTCCAACAACAATCCACCAACGAGCAACAGTCGTCATCACAAACGTGTGATGCCAACGGGTTCTCCAGATTTCCATTTCAAGGCAGAGACAGCTCGGAACGGCTTTTGCTGAGAGAAGGTGTCATCGATGAGTTGCCCACGTCCAGATGCGGCAACGCCGGTCGTAAAAATGTCATTCTCGTCATTGGCGACGGAATGGGCTGGGAAATGGCCCGAGCAGGAGCGATTGCTCGGCAAGTGATCAATGAATTAGAGACAACGTTTGGATGCAATATTACGTCAGGTTGTCCCACCAATACTGCCGCCATGGATGCCTTTCGAGGGCGTAATTTGTCGGATTACTACACAGAAGGTGAGCTAGCTGTGTGCTGTTTGTTTGTTTTGTTGTCTGCAGTTGTTACGGATCGAGTCTCTTCCTGATGGATAATCCATCAGTCTGACGCATCATCCATCGACTGCACAAATATTATATTGTAGGCAAGGGAAGGGGCCTATCCTTTCAGAATCTTCCGGGATATGCCCTGGTGACTACCACTGCTACTCTGGCCCAGAGGCCAAACAAGGGGAACAACAGCGCGCCTCCCTACGGGATGCTCGAGGGATCCCTGGCGAAGCATGATAGTGGCATGGCTCCATTGGCATTGACCGAATGTGGCTGGCCAATAGACTTTGATCCAAAAGATCACATAACAGACGGCGGGAACATGGTGTTATGGGACGATGTCAAGGGCGGACAGTATCCGTGGGATCCCAGGTACACCCAAGACAATCCAGATACATCGGATGGTTTTGATCCTCTGTACATTATGCAGCACGCCACGGATAGTGCTGCCACTGCAACTACTTTGGCGACAGGTCACAAGGTACGCACCGATTGAGTTAGCTGAGCAACGAGTGGAGTGACGACGCAATACTATGAAGGTGGGGCGTTGTCTAAACTGCTCCTGGCTGTGATTTGTAGGTTGCCAACACCATGGTGTCCGTCGACCTTTACGAAGAACCAATCAGCACCATTGTGGAAGAAGCCATGAAATGTGGAATGGCAGGAGGAGTTGTTTCTTCCAAGCCTGTCCTTCACGCAACTCCAGCAGCCTTCATTGCGCACTCCAACAATCGACAACAACGCGATCAACTAAGAAGGAGCTTTCGCGAAGTGAATCCAAGTTTTGCCAGTGGAGTCTGTGCCAGAGAGTACTATCCGTATCCTGAAGATCTTCAGAGCATGAGAAATGGATCATTGAGCAGAAGCTGGACTTTGTTTGAGCAAAAACCGTCTGTGTTGGCCGAGGTACGATTGGTTCTAGATGTCCATAATCTCGCAGTGCTCTCATCTATGTGTCTCAGTTAATAATAACCTTGCCCGCATCTTGTTGAGCAGAACTTTTATCAGGGGTTGGAAAACCTAGATCCCGACAATGGTGATCACGTACTGGTGTGCTTGGGAGGAGATTTTACGCGCAGCAATAGGGAAGATCTTCCGAAACGTGGAGTTGACAGCAGCTATTCCAATCGATGGTGTGGAACAGGTGACATTCAGACGCCCGGCCCAAATGCAACAAATCCCGATCTCCCACTAGGCGTCACGCCCCCCAATGCTCGCCTCTGTGACTTTTACAGCCAAGAGGAAGTCAAACAGATACCGCATATTACCCAAAACGTCAAGGCGGCTCTGGATTTTCTTGGCCGAGACGATGATGGGTTCTTTTTGATGTACGAACAGGGAGATGTAAGTAAAACGTGGCTGCGGAGGTTACTGGCAAGCCGATATCAGCTGACGCTACCCTGCTATTCGCCTTGTTTGGTTTGTACTGTAGATTGACACCGCCGCGCATCAGAATCACATGGACGATTTGCTTGGAACATTGCTAGATATTGATGATTCCGTTCAGTACATTCGCAACTGGATTGCTGCTAATGGTGGTTACGAAAAGAATGCACTATACGTGACAGCCGACCATGATCACTATCTGACGTTGCTGCCACAGTTTCCAGAGTTATTGGCCTTGCTGCTCATTACAGGAGCATCCCACAATATCACACCGGAAAACAACAGCAAACAAAATCCTTGGAACCTTGCCATTCAAGCAGGACGACACGAGGAGCTAGGCAAGTCTATTATTGAACATCTCCGGGATTTCACCACGTGGACCGACGAGGACATCCTCAACGTAGGCCACTTCTGGGGGCCCGTTGGAAGTGGTGGCAATGGATGGGGCTCCCATTCGACACGCCCTGTCCCACTATATTATCAAGGTGACGGTGGTTGCATCGAACAGCTCTTGGGCAAGGGCTACCAAGTGCTGGGTCGTCAAGTGGAGGGTATTCCAGGCAAGATCGATCAAGCACACATACATGCCTGCATGATGAAGAATCTGTTTGCACTGTGATAGTGGCTGCTACGTTAGAGAATACTTGCTGTAAAGTTGATAGAGTAATGTCATTGTCACGCTAGACCTGAAAAGAGGAGTTACCTCGGATTTCCAAATCAGATAGCATTCATGCGCACTACAGCAATTCACGAGTTTCATCACCACTTTCAAACTACCCCTCTACTCTCATGAACGAAGTCTAGAGAACAAACAGAGAATACATGTAGTACACGTGGGTTCAGGCAGGAAGGCCCTTCCCGAGCGGCAAGCAAGAGAAAACCAGGAACGAGTAAGTGATATATCTGGAGATGATAGCTACATTAGTAGTAGCTAGGAGTTACTTAGTTAGGAAGAGAAATGGCTCGACCTCACCAATGTTTCCCAAGCTTCGAATCAATGGATTTCGTGTAGGCACCAGGTCAGGTGGGCAATTGCAGCTAGGAAAAATCAAGCAATGCCGAAGGTCCAAATGCATAGTTTACTACCGGTATCATGTGGACTGCTTGCCTGTCTGAAAGGCCAGAAAAGGGATCTTCAATAGTTGGAATGTCCAAGTTCATAGTTTTTCAAACAATGTCAAGGTTCTAGATCTTGAATAGTTGGACTGTCTACGTTTATAATTTTCAAACAATGTCAAGTTCCTCCAGAGTACATGTAGCAGGGCATCTTTCCATGTGTTCATTTTTGAGGCATCCTTTTTTCTCGAAGCCACAAGTTAGCAACAGGTGTACCGGTACTACTGCCGGCGCCAGGTGATCCCAATGCTAGCACTGCGGCAGTTTTTGGCTAGCTGACTGATTCAGACCTTAAAATGTGTTCAGAGCTTCTGGGGCGCGAATCAGACGACTCCATTCTGTTTTCATTTCAGGCCCTGTAACAGTCAACGTTCCATTGCTGTCGTCAAGGGTGATTGTCGTAATCTTTTTCGTTCCAATCAGATTTTCTAGGGTTCGGAATTCTGGTGGAGGCATCATTCTAGACATCATGAATGGGCCACAATCCACCTTCATTGTGGTCTCGTTTTGCTCCAGAATGCTGGCACCACCACCGATATTGTTTGCAATCTTAAAATGCATCTTGATCTTGCTACCCTCATTGATTAGCTCCAATCGAAGGGGACGATCATCTGGTATCGTCAAAGGGTTCTCACCATCCCATGCCTTGTCAAGCTTCCAGTCACCATAGAACCCAGTGACATTGGGAGTAGAGAGCTCTGTTGATGGCAATGCCTCTGGCACCTCCACAGAGAGAGAAGCTGAACCGCTGACATGCAGGCAGGGATAGAAGGTTGTCGTGTTATTGGACAAGCGAAAGCCAGTACCAAGGCACTCTCCATTCTTGTAGAAAGTTACTGTCAAGGATTCTCCGGGTGAGACCCTCACACCAACAGCATCTCCCACCTCAAACCTGGGCCCCCAGCTAACTTTGAGGGCACCACTTCCATTGGTCAGATTTCCATTGTAGAACATGCCCTTGGTCTTCCACCCAGGTTTGAATCCATCCTTGCTAACAGCACCAAAACTGAGGTTTCCCTTGAGCTTTTGGATGGTTGCTTGCCAGTAGTAGTCTTGTGACGCCTGCTCAGAATCGAGGCGAAGATTGAACGGTGTGCCACCAGACTTGCTGGCGATCACCAAGTCGTTGCCCGTTTGCGTGAGTGTATTGCCATCTGAACCATCACCCACCCATGTCATTTCCTTATTGTGAAGAGAGTTCATTGCTGCTGCTGTGTGCTTTCCTATGTAAACCGGGAAAGTTACTATGCTTTCCTATGTGGATTGTCTTCTGCGGCTGTTGGTTTTTGTAAACTCTCAGGCTACGATTGAAGATACGGTTGCAGGATCCATGATTCGATTGTTGATCATTCGTGCCTTGATCGATGCTTCCGAACGCTAATAACTGAGCCATGCTGGCTACCGGTATTACCGTGGCCAGTAGCGCTTGCTAGTTACCGTACGGTATGCAAACTTCTCATCAAACCTGGCATGGTCGGCCTGGATAGCACCGGTAGACTAGCTCCATGTCCTGGCGGGTCAAGCTGGCATGCGACGAGCTCTGACACTGCAATGATTCGATTCGATTCGATTCCATTCAATCGGTGGCGGCTGCGAAGCAAAGTACTGAAACGGAAGACGAGCGCCGACAAGCGGCGCTCGCCTAGAGCAGCACAGCACGGCTAGTTGAGTAGTGTAGGGTGGTGGAGAGACTCGGCCATTTACTGAGCCGACCGTCTCCGCGACCCAGGGGTGCCGCTCGTGATTGCTAGAATCGCGAGCGGGAACCAAGGCACGAATGAGGCAGGGCACCTGGGTCGTGGAAACGGTCGGCTCAGTAAATGGCCGAGTCTCTCCACCACCCTACATCTACTCAACTAGCCGTGCTGTGCTGCTCTAGGCGAGCGCCGCTTGTCGGCGCTCGTTGTCGAGCAGCCGCACGCAAAAGAGGACAACTGATCCTGATCCCTATCTGTCCACGCTGCTTGGCGTGGAAACCTGAACCCTCATGGGTTCTCCAACTATAGACTCCTACAGTTGCCAACTGTACCATCTCACAAAACACAAATCGATTCCCACACTTCGCTCCTACTCATCAAGTACATCTCTACATCTCTCAGGTCATCACCTGCGTTGCCTTAAATGGATACCCCACATACATGTCGCTATGTCTGCCTCCTTCGCAAGATCAGCTCTAAGGCAATAGCACCCCTCGAAGACCGCTCACAGATAGCAACCTTGAATGAACACAAAGACGCAAGACCGTCCAACTCTCTCTTTCAGCCATTGAACAGTCGATCGCAAGAAAGTTGTCTCCTTCTCTGCTAACAATTCTTCCTTCATCCGAGCTGCAAGCAAGAACTAGATAGATTAACCCACCTCTCCCTCCCGGTTGGCCGAATGTCGCACAATCACGCGGGACTCACATCCCGCGGGACA